CATTGTGAAAGCTAGTCTCCTCAAGTAAAGGCCAACATGTGATTTCAGTATTTCTAGCAGACGGACAATCTAATTTCTTAACAAGATTTGGTGCTAAATCTGCATATTGGAAAGACCAAACGTTTTGGGATTAAAGTATTTTTTTTATCACACGAGAGGCTATAAATGTAACCAGTATCGCTGGTGGAATAAGAACACGAGAAAACCCCGGTAATAGCAACCAACTTTCTCACACAACAGTATTGAACGAGCCTGAGAATCTAACCCTTCCGGAGAGACTTGAGATGGCTCTGATCGGTAAATACAAGTGCTTTAAGACTACTCGCAGACCCGGGGTACAGAGACTGATCATGAGTAGACAATTATAATTTGTATGTAAGAAACAGTAAACTAGTTTATTTTACAGTCATTCGGCACGTATGTTTATTATTAAAAGCATGTCTAAAAAGGGCTTTTGAAAGCCTTTATGAAATACTCAGCCGGTATGCAAGCCTACCATAGACCTTAAACTCTTGTAAAATATAGTCCAGATCATTTACTTAGACCTTACACTCTTGTCAAATATAGTCCAGATCATTTACTTAGACCTTACACTCTTGTCAAATATAGTCCAGATCATTTACTTAGACCTTACACTCTTGTCAAATATAGTCCAGATCATTTACTTAGACCTTACAATCTTGTCAAATATAGTCCAGATCATTTACTTAACCTTACACTCTTGTCAAATATAGTCCAGATCATTTACTTAGACCTTACAATCTTGTCAAATATAGTCCAGATCATTTACTTAACCTTACACTCTTGTCAAATATAGTCCAGATCATTTACTTAGATTTTACACTCTTGTCAAATATAGTCCAGATCATTTACTTAGACCTTAAAGCAAGCTACACGTTCACACATATGCAAACTTTGATGCTGTAAAAGAAGGCCACACAAGACACACATAAACTTGTGTTGTGAATAGTTTTGAATGATACAAACTAATACCAGTGATATTCGTCCTTGTTATAATTAACTTTACTGTCTGTACATAGATGCGCTGCGTTGTAGCCTTAATCATTGTTTTAACAGACCTAAGCTTATCGTGTGAATGAGAGCTGCTAATCATGTGACTATCAGAAAAATATGGATACTCTATTTACTATGTAACTTATTACAATTTGATCTTCACTTAAATGTGTCGATAAATGCAAGCACTAGCTATTTAGACACAAAAACAAACTCATGAAAAATTATTCGAAGAATTAAATTACATACTTACATTGCCATTATACATTTCATGATCTATGATAGTCATTTAAGAAATTTAGATGGAAAAGCTATCTGGAAACTTCACCTCAGAAAAGGAAACAGAAAATTGAGCACCGATACAAAGTTGCATTTTTCCGCTGTGTACATTATTGTGTAACGCATTGTAACCTGACAAAACGTCCAGCCATCCACATCCTTGATTCTAACGGGGATTAGGCTGGGAATGTCTAATGCTAAATATATTTAATTTGCACTTTTATTAGATTTTGTAATTCATTATATTCTACTGATAATGTAATATTGTATATTGGACTTGAATTATTCCAAAATCAAGTTTATTTTATACATGACCTGAATCATTGATTTTGTTTTTGTAAACAACATGTTTATCTCAATCTGATTATAGAAATTTGGAAAATCCCCATGAATTTCCTTGTTTAAATGTAGTTTACTACATCGTATATCATAAGTTTAGTAAAAGACCTATTTATAGCCCATGTTTTACTTGGTAAAGATTTGGAACCTTTTAGAATGACATTTTGCATTAGGTAATAGATTTTTTTGTTTAGAAAATGGGTACTATGATCTGAGGTGAGGTAGACGTGTGTATAGTCTTGGTACTGGAATACAATGTATTCGTGATTTAAGATCTTTTCAAAATCACTTGTATTATTGTTGTGTCCAGTGTTTCATTTGAACTGGAATTTATTTATTCAGATTATTTAATTCAACTGTTTCTTCTCAGAAATAAGAATAGCTCTTTTTAACATCATATATAAAGAGTGTCAGGTAGCGAAACCCAGAAAGCCAAACTAATTGCATATAATTCGCTTTTTGGCTTAGGATGAATGAATTTATTAGAAGAAATAGCGCGTAGAATCGGTTAAAATGCACATGTACTCGTAATTATTCCATATATTATTCATTTCATTTGCATAGTTGTAAATTGGAACTTTAAAATATCAACGCTGAATTCAGTTTTTCTTAAATATATTTATAAATAGACACAATTTTCAAATCGTTCATGTATTGTTATGTAGTCCTTGTACTATTGAGAAGGATAATTTTGAAGACTCGTTTTGTAGTATTTATGTTTTTATCGTCTATGCATTGAACATATTTCCCCATTTGATATTGCAGTAGCCAAGATGAAACTGACCCCAAGGTTTAAATGTAAAAAGTGTTTCCTGTTCTCAACAGTTAGATATGCACCAATGCTTTATAGTAATCAGATAGCTTTAGACGTGATAAGTCAATGACATCATCAAATCAAACCGTTATCAACTTGAATTCCTGAATTCCTTCCTGTTTCTCTTGCATCACATATTTCAGTTCCCCATCATTACACATTTGTGTAACATCTGTTTTAAGTCTTCTGTCTTTGATACGTATTTATAAGAATCGTAAACAAATGCAGATGTTGAGTTGAATCGAACTTGATTTTTTTTATACAAAAAACAATGATCAACAATAAATTAGGAGCATCAGTAATGATATAAACGTCTAATAATGTCAGTAGGGGATCATTAGTGACCTTATCTGAGTCTATAAATGTCAATAGGAGAGCATCAGCGACAACATCAGTGTCTACTAATAGAGTCCGTAAGGAAGCGTCAGTGACGATATAAGTGTCTAATAGTGTCAGTAAGGGAGCGTCAGTGACGATATAATTGTCTAATAGTGTCAGTGGCGGAGCATAAGCGACAATATCAGTGTCTAATAGTTTCAGTAGTGGAGTATCAGTGACGATGTAAGTGCCTAATAATGTCAGCATCGGAGAATCGGTGACGAGATATATATATATATATATATATATATATATATATATATATATATATATATATATATATATATATATATATATATATATATGAAATGAACGAACTAAAGTAATTATATTTGTCCACGTTCATCATGATTTTATTTTATTGACTGATTCCAAATAGTTACGGTAATGTCATGAAATAATCCTGCCGAATGTTAAAGCTAACACAAACAAGAATAGGATAATGCGATATCAGAAATAACATACCGAATTAGACGTTTTATTATAATCAAATATATGGATTAAAATATGTTTACATTGTCATATGCTGGTTCTGTCAAATCTGCGTCCAATGTAAACTCCGGTTAACAATTATCAGTCATAATAATCAGCCATTAGCAGTGGTTCTACTACCACTACATCAACCTTCAATTTCTTTAATGTATTGCTTTTCCACATTTTCACGTACGACCAGTTCGGATAAACTCTTATCACTCATTATGACTGACTGACTTTTTTTTCCCATGCTAATAATATCTTTACACATGCTATCCAAGTCTTACTAATGTTGTATACCCGAATGCTGGCATAAATATCTATTCTACACAACTTCTCAGCTATTGACATTATCTGTCCAATCACGAACTACAAATTCATGCCTGTATATGTGTATGGTTATGTGTGTATACATCCAGTGGTGTGTGTGTGTACACCTACGAATCTAAAGATCTTTATTTTCTTCGTACATCAATTTGTTTTTACAGGCTGATCAGCATGTGCAATCATTAGAGTGTAATTTCCTATTCTTATGGATTTTACAGTATGATTTCACCTCGAAAAAGAACTCCATACTTAGTCTGTATTAACATTGTTCAGAATATGCATTGCTGTATTTCCACTTACGGTTTTATTGCCGTATTGTCACTTATCAAGAGTAATCCATGCTTCCCTCTTATCCCGACGAGAATAATACATTTTCTTTGCATCATTTCAATATTAGAAGTCTCAAAGAAAAACCTAATTATGTGCAAAGTATAGCTGAATATGTTACAAAGACATTACAATTCTAGCGTCCATATGAATAGCTTAAAACTCTATGGTTCGAAAGAACCGTTAAGAAAATACTGAAATTGTCAGGGAGGCGACCTCATGGTATACGTTTCCAATAGGATTAAAGATACGAACTTTTGAAATCATGATACAGAAGATTTATGGATGAAGATTAAATTATCCTCTGATAAAGTAGTTATTATGACTCTAGGGTCCTGAACTAAGTAACAGAAACCCCCCAGAATGTTTATTAAAAGAAACACCAGACTTATTGCTCTAACGAACTGAAAATTTAAGATGAACTTACATTATTGTGACTTAAAGCCCAAGTAACGTTCTATTACAGGTTCAAAAGTACAGTGTCCCGAATAATGAATATACAGACGAACCAATCATTTTAAATAGGTTGAGGTTCCAACAATCTTGATGTTTCACAATGATATAGTCCAAGATGTCTTACAAGAATTCATAATAATTTCAAATTAGTGTTTCTGTCCAAAATGTTAATAAGCAATTTGTTATTCTAATGCATAATTTCAATAATTGATTTTGTTCAAGTTATGATCTGAACACAACAGTGAATAATTATGCAGACTCAATTTAAAGGTGGAATGAACAAGTGTGTTGACCACAGCCGTACATAAAACATACGACACAATAAAATCAAAACAATGTAGGTGAAACGATCTCGTCCAGATGAGATTATGATTATGATTTTTAACGTAGCTTTAACAATTGTTCAGTCATATCGCTACGATGTCCGCAGTGTGGCAGTTTATAGTGATGTCTAGCACTGGGGCATCATGCCGAAGACATGTAGCATGATGTTCCACCCAGTCACGTTATCCTGACACCAGGCCGACCAGTCCTAACACTAACCTCTTAATGCTGAGCGCCAAGCGAGGAAGCTGTTAGTAACATTTCTGTAAGTTTTTGGTATGACTCGACCGTTGATAGAACCCACGACATCCCGATTTTGAGGCGGACGCTCTAGCCACTAAGCCACCGGAACGGTTTCTCGTCCTGATCATTCAAAGTTTTAAAATAAGGCTAGACAATAAATTCAAATGTCAGTAAACAACTTTTAAAAAATGATAAATTTCCGTTAGGTTATACCTACTCTACGCTCAAAAGTGGACAAAGGTCAGACACACAAAATAAATTAAATACGACTATAATAGCCGTAGTGCAAGGGTATATATCAACCTACTTTCATACTAAATTATGGGAAAGTCTTAAAACTTAGATTGGCATCATAAGTGAGGCGTATAAGCATATTATTTGAGACTATAACGATGATTTATTCAGATCGTCTATTTTTGCGAAATTGATTTTTTGCCAGTATATGATGACAAACCGTATACGAATTGCTAATACTACCAAATCAATGTTCAAACGAATCGTTGTAAGTGTGGTGTAACAATAATCCAAATGGACGGTGAACATAATGCTTCTAAAATAGCAATCATTAGTACCATTAACCTGTGTGTCCTATAAGCCTTTGCAGATTTAAAAAAACTCAAAGCTCTTATAACAGGAACTGACTGCAGAGATATATTGTAACCCTCAATAGATATTGGTGCAGCAACTAATATATTTATCGTCAAGAAAAGTAGAATTCACAATTTAGTATTCATTAAAAACTGTAACAATTCGCCTAATTGATAAACCGTTGTTTGATCCCCAATTTAGGATAATAGTACGAAAAGCGAAATAGCAGAGAAATTTGCCCTTAGGCATGTTGGGTTAAATGAATGAAATAAATACAAAGAAATCGTAAATAAAGTCAACAAGATTACAATGTATGGCAAAGATAAAAATACGGATAATATTGGGGTACATCGTATGGATATCGTATGTTTCCCCAAATGATGCTTTGAAAGCCTGAACAAACGTACAATCTATGATAAATAAATTACAGATGTTATTAATTCCATTTCTATCAACAACAACCACTGGACGTAAGTTATAGAATGCTCATAAGGATAGTGAAAAGATTGTCGTGTCACTAAAATTATTTTGAATCCACCGTTAAAGGAAGATAAATTTAAAGAATAATGTAAACTTGCGCATATTCTTCTCATTCCTACAAAAAAGTGATCTCACAAGACGTTTCCAGCTATGGATCATCGTCCCTACTTAGCTGTGTCGTTAAAGGTTTTGAATGATGCATTTTAAATCATATTTATAATTATGTTCATAAATCTTATTTTAATAAGTAATCATCATGATGCCTTCCCAGTCACTCCATCGTTATTCAGCTTTGAACTGGATCCAAGTATGCGTAATTTACTGGAACAATTTCACAATTTCAACATTCTTGTATTCTAGTCTGGAATCTATCAAAAGCTTTAAATTGCGTCTTTCACACAGGCGCATATTATAAACTGAAGGAATATGGGTTTTCAGGTAATCTGCAGAAATGACTTGCAAAATAATGAAAGTATCTGAAATGATTTACCTTTCGAATGACATTTATTAACGAGAAAAGATCACAAATGCTTGTATGCTACATGGATCTGTACTTGGACCTTTCATGTTTCTTATCCACGCAAACGAGTTTTCTAATGGTAGTTGCATCATCTCGACATTATTCAGCCCCTTATTATCCTGAAATAGTGGTATTCGTGAACAATGATTTTACAAATCGGCACAAATCATCAGAGCAAGTATCTTATTAAGTGCTTTAAAGATTATCTTACTTATATAGTTCAACGACTTCTATACCCATGATTTTACCTTCCGTTACATGCATGTGCATGATTTGCAGGGACAAGTGAAGAATTGATTAAATATTAAATAGTTACTGAGGCTTATTATATTAAATAATTGGCCAACATTTCACTGATTGATGCCTAGATGATTTTAAAGGAAATTGTGAGCATATCCAATATGGGATTATAGTACCAGCATAATGGAGTGTATTTAACATTGGAAATAAAATTAAACGCTCTTTCGCTCAAGTTCATTATACAGATTTGTCAGAGAAGCTTAAAATTGTATGTTTTCAAATACGTAACCGAAGAGTTGGATAAATTAATCGACTTAGGGATTAAAAGTTTGGTAACATTGCTCAGCGATGCGATTTTACCTAATGAAGATATTCATTAGTTTCTATGGTCATTTAATGTTGGATTTAACATGAACGTTTCAGCGAGCCGGCAAAGCTTTCTAACACAGTCAAACTTCTTGATCACTACCATATCACCAATGTTCACAGATGACTAGCACACAGCGCATATAATGTAGTTACAAATTTATCCAAACAAAATCCAAACTACTGTGGTAGTATATAATCTTCGCATTTATCATGGTCTGTTGACAAAATAAGCAGTACATAAAGGCATCGAGTGCACTAATAAGCGTCATTGCCAACAGCATGAATTGCAGCCTGAGCAATCTGTTAGGAAGTAGTAACGACCATCTTAAAATCACTCGTTAATACAGTGATCCTGACCCTGCAACATTAAAGATACCAGCTGCAAACGAAACAAATCCCATCAATACATTTGCGACTGGAACACGTTTGATGAGACACAGTAACCATCAACTGAGTTATTTCATTCATTTTTGTTTCCCGAATGTATTTCTGAAAACGACTAAGCAAATTCAAGCAATGTCTGGTTTAAGATTTCTTGTAACACGTAGCAATTCACAGCAAGAAAGCCATGCTGTATTTGGTAAAAATCATATTTGTTGGCGCGCCTGTGTTGGACTAAGCAGCTCATGTACGGGTTTCACTACGGCAATATTGAGCCGAGATATGGAGACAATATCAAGATGTTATTCACGGAATTAGACTCGCTTTTAATGTACATCAAAACCAACGAAATGTGCGCGGAGATGATTCAACCGAAGTTTTGTTTAGTAAATAAATTTGATAGCGTGAATATCCTAAAGATTATTCACTGTTTAATAACACCCACAAAAAGGTTGTTGGCATGTTTAAGGATGAATATTAAAAATAGTCAATATAAGGGTATGTGGGACTGCGTCAAAAATGATCTCGATTGAAGTTAGACCGTGTAGCGACAAAAACGTTAAGAAAGAGGTGTGAAGTTGCAATAGATCTCAGACAAGTCATTATTTGGAGTGTCTACGGAAAAGACTCGAATTCGTACATGTAGCAAATCTGATCCGGTCAGAGAAACATAGTCAAGGCGGGTATCGTTTTACTAATATACGTTAGTCACTTCTTTACACCAAGCAAGGGATATCCCGATGGAATTACCACACCGCATAAGAGCACTGCGCGAATTTGAATCAACTTAGGAATTATACGATATCGCATAAACACAGACATTAGTTGAAGTTTTGTATCCGAGGAAATGACTTGCATTTGATCTCGAATTTGCTTGGTAGAAGTCGTTCATTTGAAATTGTCTCTCGTGGCTTTCCTGCACCTTTGCTAGCGGAAGTAATGTGATGACGTGTTGACAGTCCTGGAAAATCAGTCCGATTTGAGAATGTAAATGCATCTACGGACCACATCGGGTCAGTAGCTTGACGTTGCCCGCCCTCTTACTCCACCTTTGCATATAAATATGGGACAACATTATCCTGAGTGGGTTTGTTACAGGCGGCTGAGTAACTGACTTATGAATAAAGGTTACAGTCTTCTGCCGAATCTCCTCAGCATAGTAGTTTCACTTTCTCTGCGATCATGGTCAGAGACCTCATTACCAATTCTTGTGCGTACTCATGACTAAATAACCATACGGTAAGTGTACGGCTAAATCGTTCTATAATAGCATGGTCATGATTTGCATTACCTTTTCCAATATGATACAGCACATAATGTTCTGTTAACAACACAACAGTGCTCCAAGAAATTCTTTACATGGATCCACTTACATCAACCGAGGCAATGTTATTGATGAACGTATACAGACACTATCTTGAATCTTTATACGTCAATGTCTCAGCTTCTTTGTATCGGCTGAGAAGATCTACAATAGTAAACGCATAACTATATGTGCTCATAAAACCATGGTCACGTGAAATAAACAAAAGATTATCCTGGTGAACTTTGTTAGGTATTGGTGCAGGTAGTTAATTTACCATAGCCCTCATTTTGATAATCATACACGAGGAATCCCATGGGTGACATTTGTCGTACTTGGTAACTTTTCAACAGCTGATTCATATTTTCAATAAAAGTGTGGACTGTGGAATATTATGGATAAAGTACGCTTGAAAACTACACGTTATTATTCGTGTATATTATATTCTACCTCCAACGAAATAACTTTGTCCACCACATAGTGCATTCCTAGTACATTTTTTTCTTCTTTAAATCTCATTTGATGATCCATCTGGCAACTCGTTCTCCAAGTGTGATAATAATCACATTCATGCCATGGATGAGATCTACTTCGGTACGTTGACTTGTACCGATATAGTTTTTGATGTTTTATAAGAAGATCGTTTTGGTAACCTACAAATTTTTAAGACCGGTAGCTTTCAGGTCCACAGAGAGACCTGAAAGGTCGTAATAACGTGAATTTCTTTACTCCACGTCGAACTCAAATTTCAGCGATCGTACCTGTGACATTACGTGTTTAAACTCGAGTTAGATTGACATGATGAGTTTTCATGCAGCATTGTACACAACATGAAAACATCTAACAAATTAATATTCAGCAAATCATCACGAGAAAGAAAAGTTGCAACTTAGAAAATCACAGATGTTCTGTCATTGACCTTCAGAGAATGCAAAGCCCAGACTACTAATAACATTGTAACGTAGCGCATGAATCATTGGTCCGGTTTTTTCACTGCATCATTACTATTAATTTGACTGGCCGAGAGTACAAATATATTTGTCTAGAGGCGAGTAATTCTTACACGAACTTGTCTCACGCATGCTTTTCAGACGGCTATTTAACAATACAAAATCATGCAAAATGTCAACTCATGAGAGCGATATCATAGGAGAGTATGTGTCGTGATGGCACAAAGTTGCTTGCGAATAATATATCAGTAATATGATAGCCGGCAGCAAACG